GCACACCAGCCCAGGAGCAAGGACGAGAAGGCAGGAGGGAACAGGAAAGCTGGACAAATGGAAATGTGGAACCCAAGGTCGAGAAGGGGAGAGAAGGGGAGAGTGTTGACATGTCGTGGGATTGGCAACCAATGTCACAAAACGATACGTATATTAATTGTTTAATGAGAAACTAATTTGCTCTGTAAACCTTCTTCTAAAGTGCAAAAAAAAAAAAAGATTATAGCCTTGGAAACCCTATGGGGCAGTTCTACCCTGTCTTATAGGGTTGCCATGAGGTGGAATTGACTCAATGGCAGCGACTTTAAGGAAGGAAGGGCATCCCTGAGTGGTGCAAATGGTTGGTTAACATGCTCAGCTGCCAAAGGTTGGTAGTTTGAGTCCACCTAGAGGTGCCTCGGAAGAAAGCCCTGGCAATCTGCTTCTGAACTATCAGCTACTGAGAACTCTGTGGAGTGCAGTTCTACTCTGACACACATGGAGTCACCTCAACAGCAACTGGTGACCGGTAAGGAAGGAAAGACAGGAAAACGAGAGCCACGCCCACTGTCAGGGCTTCTGCTGCCACGGGGGTGGGAGGGAGCAAGAAAACAGAGGGGGTCAGCGGGCAGAGGTACCAGACAGGGTGTGGGCACTTGCGGGTCCTTGTGCATGTCTTAGGTCTGGCCTATGGAAGGGAGGCTGCAGGGGCCATTTGCTGTGATTTGTGAGCCCCGCCCCGCCTCAGCTCAAACAATTAGGTTTAAATACTTGCACGCCCGGGATTCTAACCTCCCAGGTGCGGAGGAACTCAGGGTTAGACCGCAAGGCCGCCTCTATTTTGCCGAACTTCATGAGTCGTGAAGTGGTTAGCAGGGTTTTGGAAAAACTTTCAAGGTCAAAAGGGCAGCAGGTCCCAACGAAAGAGATTCCACAGCCAGGCCTGTTGCCACTGAGTCAGCTCCGACCAGAGTGGAACTGCCCTATCGTGTTTCCAAGGAGAGGCTGGTGGATTCGAGCTGCTGACCTTTCGGTTAGCAGCTGAGCTCTTAACCACTGCGCCCCCAGGGCTCCAGAATGAAAGAGATGGGAGGTGGGAAATGATGGGTTCCTGACGCTGAACTGAAGCAAGGCTGTTCTGGGGACGAGAACCGTAAACCGCCGCGAGGCTGCAGTCCCCCCAGAAACCTGGGCCCGTTTGCTCTTAAAATCGAGGCTTTTCCAGAGTCCCAGCGAGGGTTTGCGGTGTCCGCACAAACAACCATCCGCTCCTCCACTGGGGGAAGGGTGAGGGCTGCCTCCCTTTCAATTTTAAGGAGGGGACAGGGTGACTTCCCTCAGAGTCCTCTGTTAACCTCGAGTGAAGACACAGCCTTGGGAGACAAGGGCGGGGTGGGCAGTTGCTGACAGCTTTAGGGCAACTGTCATTCTCCGCAGGCTTAAAGGTCCAGAGGAAGATACGCTGCCTGGGCTCCCACACCTAGCTGACCCATGGAGTCACTGGGGAGCTTTGAAGGAGTGAAGATCCCCAGGCCCCTTCCCAGACTCACAGAATGGGAGTCAGCCTGCATCCCAGCTCTGAGAACCATCCTTCTCTTTCAGCATTGGTGGATGGAGATTCAGAGGTAAGATGAGGGTGTCACTTGTATACCTTATTTGATAATTTTTTAAAAATGGTTTTTTAAGGTAGAATCAAAATGTCACAAAACTTCTTGTCAGTAATTACATGTGTGCCTCAGGGCAAATGAGTCCTCTCTGGATCTCATCAGTAAAATGAGAGTGGTTCCTACTCCCTTGGAAGAGATTCTCAAAGGACTCTCTGGCCCTAAAATTCACCATCATTAGGGAGAAGAGAATAATCCGAGAAGCTGGACTATAGGAGGAAGAATGCGGCATCAGGATTGGAGGAAGACTCATTAACAACCCGCTATATGCAGATGACACAACCTTGCTCGCTGAAAGTGAAGAGGACTTGAAGCACTTACTGATGAAGATCAAAGACTGCAGCCTTCAGTGTGGATTACACCTCAACCTAAAGAAAACAAAAATCCTCACAACTGGACCAATAAGCAACATCATGATAAACGGAGAAAAGTTTGAAGTTGTCAATGATTTCATTTTACTTGGATCCACAATCAACACCCCTGGAAGAAGTAGTCAAGAAATGAAATGACATATTGCACTGGGCAAAAGACCTCTTTACAGTGTTAAAAAGCAAAGATGTCACCTTGAAGACTAAGGTGTGCCTGACCCAAGCCATGGAGTTTCTTTTTTTTTTAATTGTACCTTAAGTGAAAGTTTACAATTCAAATTAGTCTCTCATACAAACATTTATACACGCATTGTTATGTGGCCCTAACTGCTCTCCCTATGCTGTGACAGCACACTCCTCCTTTCCACTCCTGATTTCCCGTGACCATTCAACCAGCTCCTGACCCTCTCTGCCTTCTCATCTCACCTCCGGCCAGGAGCTGCCCATTTAGTTTCATGTATCTACTTGAGCTAAGAAGCACACTCTTCGCGAGTATCATTTTATGTCCCATAGTCCAGTCTAATCTTTGTCTGAAGAGTCGGTCTCAGGAATGGTTTTAGTTTTGGGCTAACAGAGAGTCCAGGGGCCATACTTTCCGGGGATCCTCCTGTCTCAGTCAGACCATTAAGTCTGGTCTTTTTACTAGAATTTGAATTCTGCACCCCACTTTTCTCATGCTCCACCAGGGACTGTCTGTTGTGTTCCCTGTCAGGGTGGTCATTGGTGGTAGCTGGGCACCATCTAGTTCTTCTTGTCTCAGGCTGATGCAGTCTCTGGTTTATGTGGCCCTTTCTTTCTCTTGGGCTAATACTTTCCTTGTGTCTTTGGTGTTCTTCATTCTCCTTTACTCCAGGTGAGTTGGGACCAATTGATGCATCTTAGATGGCTGCTCGCTAGCTTTTAAGAGCCCAGACGCCACTCACCAAAGCAGGATGCAGAACATTTTCTTAATAAACTTTGTTATGCCCATTGACCTAGATGCCAGCCATGGAGTTTTTTGCCTCCTATGCATGTGAAAGCTGGACAATGAATAAGGAAGAGAGTAGAAGAATTGACACCTTTGAATTACGGTGTTGGAGACGAATGTTGAATATACCATGGACTGCCAAAAGAACGAACAAATCTGTCTTGAAAGAAGTACAGCCAGAATGTTCCTTAGAAGCAAGGATGGTGAGACTCTGTCCCATGTACTTTGGACATGTTATCAGGAGGGACCAGTCCCTGGAGAAGGACATTATGCTTGGTAGACGGTCATCGAAAAAGAGGAAGACCCTCAACCAGATGGATTGACACAGTGGCTGCAACAGTGGGCTCAAGCATAACCAAAATTGTGAGGATGGTGCAGGACTGGGCAGTGTTTCGTTCTGTTGTACAAAGGGTCGCTATGAGTCAGAACTGACTCAACAACAATAACACGGAAAAGAGGCTCTACTGTACATAGCTAGATAATATTTGAGAAAATTAACTGAGTTTCCTGCCCTTATTTCTGTTGTGCTTCTTGTACCCGGTACCCTTCCTCCACCACTCACAAAGGATTTTCTATACAAACAGCCCTCCAGGGAGAGCAGATACTCCCCCACTCTCTACCCCCTTACCACTCCCCCGCCCCCGAACAAAGATGTCAGTTGGGACATAGTGTTTAAAAAAAAACTCATAGCAGAGAAAATAGTCTTAAAATCTGAGGTTTGGAGAGTGAAAAAAATATATACATATTTTTTGGAATTAAAAAAGAAACATTTATCTTTGACTATTAAGAAGAAAGTATAAAGTTGATCCAAGATAATATGCATTTCCCACTCCATGATCACTAATAAAGAAAAACCAAACCAAACCAGTTGCCGTTGAGTGGATTCTGACTCCTGGCGACCCCGTGTTTTTGCAGAGTAGAACTGAGCTCTGCAGGGTTTTCTAGGCTGTGACCTGAGGTGCCTCTGGGTGGGTTCGAACTTTCAACTCTTCAGTTAGTTGTTGAAGAAAAAAAAACAAACCAAATCCATTGCCGTTGAGTCAATTCCGACTCATAGCGACCCTATAGGACAGAGTAGAACTGCCCCATAGAGTTTCCAAGAAGTGCCTGGTAGATTTGAACTGCTTACCTTTTGGTTAGCAGCCACAGCACTTGACCACTACACCACCAGGGTTTCCAGTTGTTGAAGGGAGGGGGAAATTCTGAAATGACAGAGAACTTACCCAAAAGAGATGGAGAAAAATCTTGAAGTGACTGGGTTATGATGAATTGGTAAGCTGAATTTTTCCACCACCACGAGAAATGGGAAGTTAAGAACTAAGGTCATTTATGATGAACTCTTTCGAAGTTGCATTTTTGACTCCTGTATTGGTGACCGTGAAATCTGTACACAATACAGGTGTCTCCAAAGCCTTTGCCAAGCCCTCTTCTCTGAGGCCCCCAGAATTGGAAGGATGCGTTCTTTCTAAGGCAGTTCTCACAAGAGGTGATTAAGAGATGAAGCCAATAGAACGGGGTTGTTATGAGCCTATGATTCTTACCTTATTCATGAAAAGCAATGGCCCACAAGGACAGTGTGACTTCTTTAAGGGCAGGGACCTGTCCTACCAGTAGTCCATCATTACATCCACCTCCCCATTTCCAATGTGTGTTAGTTGGATGAATAAATTAGGTGATAGAGAGAGACTGACTTAACTAGTGAGGGAGGAAGGCAGAGCAGACTGGGAATCAAACTTCAACCATTCTGCCCCTGTACCAGCAGAAAGTGTTTGGGACACATGGCCCAAGCTTAGGAGTCCCTAGGTGGTGTAAATGATTAATGCATTTGTCTGTTAAGCAAAAGGTTGGTGGTTGAAGTCCACCTGGAGGTTCCTTGGAAGAAAGGCCTGGCAATCTACTTCTGAAAAATCAGACATTGAAAACCTGATGGAGCAGTTTTACTCTGACATAAATGGGTTTGCCATGAGTTTGAATCAACTCAGTGACAACTGGTTTGGTTTTTGGTAGCCCAAGCTTACTTACCAGATATCTCTGTTTTCATCATAGAAGGTGGCATGGCCAGAGTTGTTGATAAGGGCCCGTATCCATGTTTGTTTACTGTCTTCCAGAATGATGTATGTGAAATGTTTAGCATTGGTGGTGAGGATGAGCATAGCCAGGTTTCCTGAAGGATAACTAGGAGGTGGTTAAGGCACAAGTGGTCCATTGGGATCCCCTGTTCGAAAAGGCAGAACCTTGCAGAGGACACCAGTCCTCAGCAAGCATACCAGGCCCAGCCCAAATCACAGCATCCTGCTCCAGTGGATACTGTATCTGGCCTGTTCCATCAGGAAAGAGCACTTGGAAGAGAGTCCCACTGGGGTAGAGAATTACTTCTCCATCACCTTGATGCACCTGGGAAGAAAAGACAAGCCCATGAAAAGTGGGAGGGTGCTGATTGTCCCAGTGCAGAGTATAGCATTGTTGCTGGAGTGCTTTGTACTTCCTCTGCTTGCTCTCCGAATGCCCACTGGTAGCCCTGCCTATCACCACCCCGAACTTGTTGGGAGCTCTTGTTGGAAACCTCTCAGGGCCTCAGTATTCTTTTCTAGATAGCCAGGAGGTGGAACTGGAACACTGTGTGTGTGTGTGGTGTGTAGATTTTAAACTAGTATTTCAGTCACTCTAATGGTTATTGGTATAGTCAGGTTTTTTATTTCTTCTTGGATCAGTTTGAGTGAATTGCATTTTATTTTTAGGAAACTGATCATTTTATGTAAATTTTCAAATTTATTGTCATAATATTAATTCATATAACGTTTTTAAAACATCAGCACAGTATCCGTAGCTATGTCCTTGTTTTCATTCTTTCCATTACTCATACCCTCTCTTTCGCTCTTTTTTTAAATCTTTTTTATCAATCTTGCCCAAAGGTTTGCCTAGTTAGTCTTTTAAAAGAACCAGCCTTTGGTTTGTTGATTCTGTTATTTCCTTGTTTTCTACTGTATCAATGTCTGCTTTTATCGTCCTCGTTGATGTCCTGCTTTCTGTGGGGTTTCTATGCTATTTCTGTTATCTTTCTAATTCTTTAAGTGGAATGCTGAGCTCACTATTTCTCGTTTTTCCTCTTCATATGGCGGCGGTGGCTGCCAAGACTGCTGCTTCTGCTTTTTCTTCTCCTCCTCCTCCTTCTTTAGAATAAGCGATTAAAGCTGTACATTTTCCCTCAAAATACTCTTAGCTGTTTCCAGTGAGTGTGCATAGTTACTTTTCATCTTCATTCACTTTTAAATATTTTCAGATTTCCAGTATGACTTCTTCTTTGACACACTAGTTATTTAGAAGTGTGTTTTTAAATTTGCAAAATGTATGAAGTACGTTTGGTTATATGATTATAATTACTAATTAAATTGCATTAGAGGAAGAGACATAGTCTGCATGAGATCAACTGTTCAATGTCTGCTGAGATTTGTTTTGTGGCCTAGTATGGGATCAATTATCATAAATGCTTCATGTGCATTTGAAAAGGATGAATACATTCCAGTTTCTTCCTGTCCCCATATTAGTGTTAAAACCCAAGCCCCAAAATAGAGTTGTTGCTTAATGGATATTGAATTTCCGTTTGGGATGCTGACAAAGTTTTGGAAATAGACAGTGGTGATCGTTGCAAAAAACCAAAACAAACCCAAGCCCCTAGATTATCAAGACACTTCGTTCTTCTCTTGCCCGCCTGCCTCCCCCAGCACACACAGCCACCAGGACACACCGTTCTGGTTTTGAGCTTTCTCTTTATTTCCAGCATTGGTTATGCCCCTTACTTGCTTCCACACTCCACTCTGAATTTACAAGGATGCTTCTTAAATTTTATCTAAGTTTTCCAGGTGTGTGTAACAGGAAGGCTTTTGCAGTTTATCTAGTATCCCATATGACTCCAACTGGAATTTAGATCAGTGATTTTCAAACTATTATATTTAACAGTTGAACAAGGAAAGCTTACAGCAGAATGCCAACATCCACAAAGATCAAAGAAAGAGATACAACTCTGTTTGAGAAGCTGCTGCTTGTGGGGGCTCCCAGGGCACTGCCTTTAAATGCCCAGGAACCTGGGATCAGAATGAACACTGCTACATCAGGTGATGTTAGTGTACTGGCCGACACGCAGCCAGCTCTTTCCCTCCACCCAGCGCTGTGATGAACACTTTGGTTCTCACAACACAATGAACCTTTAAAGTAGGTACTTTTCTTATCCCCATTTGTTGCTGTTGTTAGTTGCCATGAGTTGGCTCCAACTCATGGTGACCTTAGGTAAAACAGAATGAAATGTTGCCCGGTCCTGCGCCATCTTCATGATTGTTGGTATGCTTGAGTCCACTGTTGCCGCCATTGTGTCAGTCCATCTCATTGAGGGTTTGCTGACCCTCTACTTTACCAACCATAATGTCCATCTCTAGGGATTGGTCTTTCCTGATGACGTGTCCAAAGTAAGCGAGCCGAAGTCTCATCATCCTTGTTTCTAAGGAGCATTCTGGTTGTATTTCTTCAAAGACTGGATGTTTGTTCTTCTGTCAATCTACAGTATATTCACTATTCTTCGCCAACACTGTAGTTTGAACGCATCAATTCTCCTTCTGTCTTCCTTTTTCAGTATCCAACTTTTGCATGCGTATCAGGCGAACAAAAAGACCTGTGTCAGGCACATTTTAGTCATCAAAGTGATATCTTTGCATTTTAGAACTTTTTAAAAGAGGTCTTTTACAGCAGATTTTCCCAGTGCAATACGTTGTTTAATTTCTTGACTGCTGCTTCCAAGGTCATTGATTGTTGATCCAAGTAGAATGAAATCATTGACACTTTCAGTGGAAAAACCTTATCCCACCTTAAGAGAGGCTAAATCACTTATACAAAGCTATCCAGTAAGAGGCAGAGCTGGACTCAGACAATGTGACCCCCACGCCTGCAGTCTTAACCGTGGGCCTCTGATCACAAGCCTCTGTCCTCCTCTTACATTTAATCTACAAATCACAGCTCTTCTTTAACCTAAAATAGTGGTTTATCAGGACACCCGTGGGTGGGCTCTTCCTGATGGGCTTGTAGGCATTTCTCATGGGAGAAAGATTGCATTTTAGATCCCCCCACCAAGCCACCCCAAAGCCAGAATTTTTGAGATACTTTCTTCTTCTCAAATTCACTTGTCATGTAATGACATTCTCCTAATGATAAGAACCCCAAGGGCAAAGCAAAATCTCTGCTCCAGAGGTGGCACTGGCACATTTTCTCTCACTGGGAAACATACATGAATGACATGTCTAAAAGCATAGAAGTCATCACCGTGTGCTTTGGGGACAGAGTATGAGGCTAACAGCTGAAAGCTAAGAGAGAAGAGACCACATCTCTGGCCTTCCTTCAGTTCTGCCAGAGAGAAAACAATACCTCTAGGAGGCCAGAAGGAATCCCTGGTGGTGCAAATGGTTAAGTGCTTGAATACTAACTGAAAGGTAGTCTCAGAAGAAAGGCCTGGTGATCCACTTCCAAAAGGTCACAGTCTTGAAAACCCTATGGAGCACAGTTCCACTCTCCATACACATGGGGTCGCCATGAGTTGGAACCGACTCGATGATTACCGTCTACTAGTTTAGGCAGCCAAGGAAAGCTGCTGCCTCTGATCTCTCTCTGGCTGCAGGGGAGCTGCTGGGTCCTGGACTGGGTGGATTCTGTCTGAGCACCAGCACATATTTATAAACAGTGTTACTTGACTTAAACTACTTGGAATTTATTGCTGGTTTGTTAAAAACATCCCCACATGTCCCACTCTCTGCCAGACTTCTCAGGCCATTTGTGCAGCTTGCATGAGTGGTAGGTTAGCAAGAGGCCCTCTGCTTAGAGATCTTGGTGAGGGCCTTCCTCTAGGCTGCAGGCAAGACACTGCAGACTGGCTAGGGGAAGATGCTGCAACAGCAAAGACTTCGAGGCAGGACCGGGTTTGGTGTATGGGAAGAGCATGGAGCTGGCTAGCTTAATTGGAGAAAGAAATCAAGTAAGGTTTCTTTAATCTGTTGGAGGTAAGGCCAGGGAGATGAGGAAGCTGAAGGCCCTATAGGAGAGCTTCCAACACCCTTTCCATTGTCTGTTACAACCTGCAGATGCCTCTCCCTCAATTCCTCTTCCCATACCAGTTCTGACTGGTCCCACTGACTTCCCTTTTACATGCAGATCTGAGAGATGAAGACACACTGAACTTCTCATTTCTTCCCTGAAAGTTTGAATGGTCCATGCTTTGTTAACAGTGTAGATTTCCTGTTCTCTTCCACTTTTGCCACCAGTGGGACCACCCTCATCACTTTACGATGACTGATTTGCTTTTCGTCTTAGTCCAGACAGTTTTTATTTTCCTCTGGGAACACAGGATGGGGATACTTCCCAGCCCCCTTGCACTGAGGTGGGACCATGTGACTCGTTCTAGTCAATGGCTTTTAGACCTGGCCCCTGGCCCCACTTCCTGCCCATGTAACTGGACATGAAGAACTCAAAGATGGTGAAGACCGATGGAGACTCATGAGGAAAGAGCCCAGATCTCTGAGACTCCTCAGCTTGGAGCAGAGCCATCCTAGAGACCTACAAGGCTCAAATCAGATGTGACATGAGCAAGAAATACAATTCTGTTTATTAAACTACTTAGCCTTGGGGATTGTTTGTTTCAGCAGCTAATGAGCATTGCCCTGACTATTATAGGCTCTGTGTCCTTGAGACAGTCATTTAAAATTTTCTGGGTCTCATTTTCTTCAACGCATTGTAAAGTGAGGATAGTAATACCACATTTACCCCACATGGTTGTCGCAAATGTTACATTATATGTGTTGTTGTTGTTGCCATTGAGTCAGCTCCAATTCATGGCGACCTCATGAAGAACAGAATGAGATGCTGCCCATTCCTGCACCATCTTCATCTTCATGATGCTCATCTTCTAGCACTACATTGAACAATGTTCTGTTGTGATCCATAAAATTTTCATGGGTTAGTTTTCAGAAGTGGATCACCAGGCCTTTCTTCCTAGTCTGTCTTAGTCTGGAAGCTCTGCTGAAACCTGTCTACCATGGGTGAACCTGCTGGTATTTGAAATATCAGTGGCATAGCTTCCAGTATCACAGCAACACACAAGCCACCAAAGTATGACAAACTGACAGACAGATGGTGGACAGTATGTGTAGAAGTGCTTAATTGCCTGTACAGTGTCACATAACTAAATTAGTGGTTCTCATTAGTCTCCTTGTCTTCTCCAATTTATTAAGTGGTAACCGCATTTACTCAGTTCTTCAGGCCAAAATTCTTAGATTCCTTCTTTAGTCTTCTCTTTCTCTCACACCCAACATCCAATTCAACAGGAAGTCCTCTTGTTTGTTTCTTCCTTCAAAAAATATCCCAAATCAGACCACTTCACACCACCTCTACTGCCACCACTCTAATAGAGATGCCTATAATATCTTGCCTGAATTGCTGCCATGGCTCCTAACTGAATTTCCTGCTTTCATTCTTTCCCTTTTAGAGTCTATTCTCCACACAGTCTAATCTCCACACAGATTCTTCTAGAACATGAGTCTGATGATGTTTCTCTCAGGCTCTCAACCCTCCAATGGCTTCACGTCATCCTTAGGGTAAAATTCAAGGTCTTACTATGACCCACAATGCACTACCTGACCTGGCCACACAAACTCCTTTCTTATCCCTCTCTGCCTTGTTCACAAACATCCTTGCAGCCTCAGGGCCTTTGCACTTGTTTGCTCTGCCTAGAATGCCTTTCCCTCAGGGATCTACGTGACTCACTCTCTCATTTCATGCAAATCTTGGCTCAAATGTTGCTTGACCAATAGGTCTTCGTGGATTGACTTATAGGTATTCAGCTCTACAGCCCCTTATGCTGCTTTTTCCTCATGCCACCTACCAATACCTCCATAGCACTGAAAATTATTTTGGCATATTGGCTGTCTGTCATTGAGAGCACGGGCTCTTTGTTTGGTTCACCTCTGTCTTTCCAATCCCTAGAATAGTGCGTGGGGCATAGAAGGTTATTAATAAATATTTATTGATTGCATAAATAAAGTTAAGTGTGTCATGTCTTTCTATATCCCATTCTAACTTTTCTTTTTTCTTAAGTCTCCTTTCAGCTTCAGACTTGATTTTTAGCTCACTCTGAATGGCTCTAACATTATGATACTAGTTTTCATTTATGAGAAGTCCCTGGGTGGTACAAATGGTTAACATGCTTGGTTGCTAACCAAAAGGTTGGAGGTTTGAGCCCCGCCCAGAGGTGTCATGGAAGAAAGGCTTGGTGATCTACTTCAGAAAAATTAGTCATTGAAAATCCTGTGGAGCACAGTTCTACTCTCACATACAATGAAGTCACCATGAATTGGAATCAACTTGATGGCAAGCAGTTTTTCACTTATGACTTTGTAGTATTAGTCTTTTAAAATATACCATGTGATTCATTTTTTTTTATTGTAATGAAAACATACACACCAAAACATACAATGACTTCTACATTTACAATTCAATGGCATTGATTACATTTTTCATGTTGTGCCATCACTATAGTTATCCTTTCTGTCTTAGGCTGGGTTTTCTGGAGAAGCAAAACCAGTAAAGTGTATAAATATATATACATAGAGAGAGATTTATATCAAGGAAATGGCTCACATTGTTGTAGAGGCTGGAATGTCCCAAGTCCATGGGTCAGGATAGAGGCTTCTCCTGATTCACATAGCCGCAGGGGCTGGCTGTGTGATCGGCAGGTCAGAGAGCAGGGCACCTGCTCACAGGCTGTGAAGATTGATGAATCCCAAGATCGGCAGGCAAGACTGCAGGTAAGCTGCCAGCTCAAGTCCCAAGAACTGGAGGTCAGACGAACAGGAGCCAGCTGTAGGATCCAGCACGAGCAAAAAGCCCAGAACCTTGCCAGAACGTCTGCCCATATTCAATGCAGTCCACATGCCCAAGGAAACTCCTTTTCAACTGATTGGCTACTCAGAGCAGATTCCATCATGGGGGTGATCACATATCAGATCTCAACCGGGAAGTGATGACAACATTATATGTTTGCCAAAATACTGAGAACCATGGCCCAGCCAAGCTGACACACAATCTTAACCATCATACTTTCCCAAAATATTCCACCATTGTTAACATAAATTCTATACCCCGCAAACAAAAGCTCCCCTTTCCTTCTCCCTCACACCCCTGGTAACCATTAATAATCTTTTCTATATATTTGCTTATTTCATATAAGTGAGATCATACAGTATTTGTCGTGTCGCAACTGACTTATTTTGCTCAGCATAATGTTTCCAAGGTTCATCCGTGTTGTGGCATACAACAAAACTTCATTTCTCTTTATGGTGGTGTAATATTCCATTGTATGCTGTCATGGTTTGAATTATGTCCCCCCAAAAATGTGTGTATCAATTTGGCTAGGCCATGATTCCTGGTACTGTGTGATTTTCCTGTATGTTGTAAACCTGCCTCTATGATGTTAATGAGGGAGGATGGGTGGCAGTTGGGTTAGTAAGGCAGGACTGGATCTACAAGACTGGATTGTGTCCTGAGGCAATCTCTTGAGATATAAAAGAAGAAGTGAGCAGTGAGACAGGGGGACCTCATACCATCAAGAAAGCAGTGCCAGGAGCAGAGCGCGTCCTTTGGACTGGGGTCCCTGCGCAGAGAAGCTCCTAGTCCAGGGGAGCGCTGAAGAGAAGAAGGCCGACAGACAGAAAAAGCCATCCCCTGGAGCTGACGTCCTAAATTTGGACTTTTAGCCTACTTTAACTGTGAGGAAATAAATTTCTCTTTGTTAAAGCCATCTACTTGTGGTATTTCTGTTGTAGCAGCACTAGATGACTAAGACATATGCATATACCACATTTACTTTATACATTCATCTATTGATGGACATTTCAGTTGTTTCCACCTTTTGGCTACTGTGAAAAGTGCTGCAATGAACATTGGTGTACGGTTTCTGTTTACGTTCCTGCCATCATTTCTTCTGGCTGTATAGCTAGGATTGGGATTGCTGGGTCATATGGTAGTTTTATGTTCAGCTTATTGAGGAACCACTAAACTGTTTTCCGTAGTGGCTGTACTATTTCATGTGATCCATTTTTTATATGGATTTTATTTAGGGCAAGGAATATGTTTTTATTGATATATTTCCTTTCTTTCAACTCTATCCTGATTCATTTGCCAAATACAGAGCCTTGTAAGCAGAAGTCTCAATAAATCCTAGTAAAAATCACTCTGCCAATAACCCAGACCCTCTCTATATACATATATATATGTATATACACCTCTGTATATTGGAGACGTTTTTCTTGTTTGTGTTCAAGTTGTGTATTGGACTTGACGCTTCCTGACAGTGTGTGTCTCACCTGAGCTAAAAAAAAAACCTGTGCAAAGTCAAAACACTGACCCACAACCATGCTTACCTTTGTCTTCTTCATCATCCATTCTGTATCTAGTTCTGCTTTCTTCTTACGACGAACAATATGATGAGGTTTTTTTATTTGTGCTTCTTCTGGCTCCTCGATTTCTGGCGATTTCTGGTCCAATAAGCGAAATGTGAAGGTACCCAACTCTGCAATGATTGGCTTGAGTCAGACTTTGGTGGAAACTTAGATCCATCTCTCTCAAGGTGCCAAAAGGAGCTTGAGGGGTTGAGAGGTCAGCCATTCTCTCTTAAATAAGGAAGGCTGCCAGGAGTGGGAGAAAGAGCAGGGCCTTTGAATCCAGAATCTTAGGGGTTGAAAAGCAGATCTTTATCGAGGGCTAATGTGTGCCAGCCCAGTGTTAGATGCTGGGAATACAATGGTGAAGAAGACCCAGGCTGGCAGTGAAGGTGTGAGAGGGTGATATACCAGCAATTGACAGTGTGCTATGGATTGAACTGTGTCCCCCCAAAAGATATGTTGACGTGCTAACCCTTGTACCTGCGAATGTGACCCTGTTCAAAATAGTATTTTTGAAGATGTTATCGGTTAAGTTAACATGAGGTCATACTGGAGTAGGGCGGGTCCTAATCCAATATGACTGGTGTCCTTATAAAAGAGTAAAGGAGACAGAGAGAGACACAGAGGGAAGGTGGCCACATAAAGACAGAGGAAGAGATTGGAGTGATGTATATACAAGGCAAGGAATGCTAAGGATCGCCAGCTGCCTTCAGAAGGTAGGAGAGAGGCATGGAATAGGTTCTCCCTCAGAGCCTTCCGAAGGAACCAATATGACTAACACACTGATTTCAGATGTCTAGTCTCCAGAATTGTGGGACAATGAATTTCTGTTCTTATAATCACCTCGTTTGTGGTACTTTGTTACAGCAGCCGTAGGAAACTGATACACAGTGTAATGAGTGGGGCTCTGAACGATGCAAAGTGGGACTGGTAATTCTGTTAATCAGAAAAGTAGGCTAAAAAATTAGGCTAAAGTGGGGAGTCATTAAAAGAGTCATCTTACCATAAACATGTCATCTTAACTTAAAAAAAAATGTATATCAATGTGTCATTTTAAAATGTAAGGCAAGGTCTTTTCTTTGAGTGTGGGTCTGATGATGGGGCTCTGGGACCATTTTGCCTAAATCCACCCATAATTTATTATCAATAATTTTCAGTTTTGGTAGCTTCTAAATAGTCTAAGTGCAGAATCATAGATTTTCATTTTTTTTATTTCTATACATCACCCAATCTCTTATGTACATTTGGTTCACACCTAATTCAAAGCAATTATTTAAAAAAAAAAGCTATTTCGTTATCGAGTCTTTCTGAAGCATCCAATTTAGTTTTCATAGCAACAACAATTTTTTTTCATATTCATTTTTGTAACAATTGAATTTTGGAACTAAACTAGCAAGGACAACCAAGGAACAATCGTACTGCCAGTGACTCTTGGTAACACGGCCAGTGGAGCAGAGCTGGCTGAGCAGTGGGGAGAAGCCTCCAGCTGTGGCATCAGCCAGGATGCTTTCCATGAGGAAGAAGAGCACCGGTTCACTCAGCCAACAGGTTAGTGCAGGCCAGTTAGGAGAGCTCTGATGGGCTCACCATTGTCCTCAACACAGGTACCCTGAGAACTGTTTGGAAAGGAATTCAACCAGGCTTCAGAAGTTAAGGCTGTAATATGCAATGGGGAATTCCTTGCATACGTACTACATGGTTGAAGTCTAGATGGGGAAGGGTTAGTAGTGACAGATGAGTCAGGGGAGGAAGGCAGGGCTACAGCATTCATTTATTCACTCAATAAATGTCTACCAAGAACTGCCCTGGGCGTCAGAAATGCTATAGTCCCTGCGGTTCATTCTAGTAGTGGAGACTACTAAACCAAAAAAACCATAACTGTTGCCCTCAAGTTGATTCCGACTCATAGCGACCCTATAGGACAGAGTAGAACTGCCCCATAGGGTTTCCAAGGAGTGGCTGGTGGATTCAAACCGCTGACCTTTTGATTAGCAGCCATAGCTCTTAACCACTGCACCACCAGAGCTCCATGGAGACTACTAACTGATGCTAATAGTGGTATCAGTTTTATTGATGCTAAACAAGTAAATAGATAAAAACATAATATGTCAGATGGTAATGAGTGTTCTGAAGAAAAATTAAGCAGGGTAAGAAGAAAGGAAAGTGATGTAAGTGCGTGCATTTGCGTGTGTGTGCATTGTGAATTGTGTCCCTCCAAAATATGTGTTGAAATCCTAAACCCTGTACCTATAAATAAGACTCTGTCTGGAAATAGAGTTTTCTTTTGTTATGCTAATGAGGTCATACCAGAGTAGGGTGGGTCCTAAACCTAATCATTGGTGAGTTATAAAAAGAACAGATTAGACACAGAGACACACAAGGTGGAAGAGGAAGACAAATGATGGAGACGGATGAATCTGCAAGGCCAGGAGCGCCAACGATTGCTGGCAGGAGCAGAAGAACAACCAGTGCTCCTGGTGACTCTGAGATAGACAAGGAAGGACCTCCCCTAGAGGCACGCCCTGAATTCTAACTTCTAGCCTCCTGAACTGTGAGAAAATAAATTTCTGTTCCTTAAAGCTGTCCACTTGTATTTCTGCTATGGAAGCCCTAGGAAACTAAGACCGTGTGTGTGTGCATGTGTGTGCACTTGCTTATAAAGAGTAGCCAAGGAAAGTATTTCTGAGAAGGTGACATTTAAGCAGAGACTAGAATGAAGTAAGAGCAAGTCACAGACATATTTGAGCATTGAGTGTTCTAGGCAGATGGGCAGCAAGAACAAAGGCTCTGAGGCAGCAGATGCTTGGTCCATTTGATGAACAACAAAAGGACCAATGTGTCTGAAGAGGAAAAAGTGAGAACCTTGTAAGCCACATAATAATGCTGACACTTTTGTGAAGGCAATGGAGGGTCAATGAAGAGTTTTAAAAAGATTATGGTAGAAACAATGCTCAAAAAGGACTTAGAGATGAGAAGATGGGGGCTCAGGGGGATTAGAATTCTGGGGAGAGATGAAATTGTCTGCGGTGATGTTGATGGGGTGGAGAGATATGGATGGACAGGAGAGCTCTCAACAAGGGTGGGGTGGGGGAGGGAGAGTCAAGGAACATGGTACAGCTGAGGCACTAAAGAGGCCACTGACTGAAGCTCTTCCTCAGGATAATGAGGAGGGAGAGGTAGACAGGGACTAGCTCACCAAGGTTCTTGTAGACCACGGTAGGGCGTTTGGAAACAGGTCACAGTCTCACATTAAGGAGCACCTTCTCCAGTGTTTATTTACAGAACAATACTGATTTATCAATGGGATAAACAAAAAGCTAAAGTGAGCCAAGCTACTGTTTCTGAGGTATCAATTAGAAATTAATAGAAAGCATTTCTGTAATTATAACGATAAAAGAGGACATTTATGTGTTCATTTTTTTCCAATTTTTATTTTATCTGTCAGAAAGATGAAATCATGGACATTCTGGTTTTGTCCTTATTAAGTGAGGCTTTAGGCTGCCTTTCTGAGTCTTGGTTTCCTTAAAATGGGATAATGTTGCCTACAGTTACCTATGGGGTAACTGAAATAATGCATGCGTAGTGCCAGACACTTAGTAGAAAGTCAATGTATCAGTGCCCTTCTCACAAAGAGCTTTGCATTTTGATGGTTCATGATACAACTGTGCAATGTTGTCCTGCTTCTTTTTACCAGTCCAGATAGTTCTGAATGGGAATGACTACATACTTTACTGAACCTAGTGCAAAGCAAAAATGCAGGGCCCTTGTTAGAAAATTATTAAGAATTTCAAAGCAACCACAGCAGAGCATTAAACCAAGGACCTTCTCAGTGTGTAGCCTTGTGTTACTGCACAGGTCACACACCCATGAAGTCAGTTTTTGCTTGGAAATTGAAGTGCACAGAGACATGGGGCTGTGTGCCTGGAGTATGAAATACTGGGCTAGATACTGGAAGTAAATGAGTTATCATCTCAAAGGAGGCTGGGAGATTTCTTTGGGACTGGCCACAGCAGGAACATGGAATGATATTTCTTGTCAATTAGAAATGTTCCTTTTCTGTATAGAAAACTCAAACCTTCTAGGCTTCAGTTGTCCAGAGAAGCAGGGAGTGGGCAGGGGTATGAGTGGGGCACTAGGGGAATCTGGCCATTTGTATTATATCAAATTTCATTCTCTAACTGTAAGTCTTACCTTGGCCTCGGAGAGTAAGGAGTCCAAAAAAAAGGAGCAAAAAATCATGTATGTGAGCATGCATGCATCCATCCATCCACTCAAGAAATGCTTATTGAGCACTTACTGCATGCTTTGCTAAGGTGCGAAGGAATAAAACACAGACGTCTAAAGCCCAAGTGGAACAGAAAAGTAAGCAGTAGACAAGTGCTACATTATATGTGTAATAGATATTTGTTGTTGTGTTTTTTGAATACTGAGCATCTGAACCCTTCTTTTTTTGTTTTGGGAATACTCCATTGGGTGAGTCTTGGTGGGAGGCAGGGCCCTTACCACTACAGAAAGTGAAGCGGGTGATTCCCCTTTCTCCCTGTGCCTTAGCCCCAGTGAGGACATAGGACCTAGGTATAGGTCTCTACTTTTTCCTTTCCAGACACACTGGCCTTTGTTGTTCATTGAACATGTCAAGGGAACAAGCACTGAGTTTAGCTTAAGAGGTCTCGGGCATGAATGTGGCTTTTCCATTTAATGGCTGGGTCATCTTAGGCAAGGCACTTAGCCTCTCTGAGCCTTAATTTCTTTATTTTACTTCACATTGTTATGGAGATTAACTTGGATCAGATAGTGTATGTGAAGGTACCTAACACACACAGTTACTCTGCAAGAGTGAGCTCAGGTCATAAATTGGTCTTGGGTACTGGAGCACCACCTTGAGAGGTAATCTGAAGCTGTGTCCTGACTCACCAAGGAAAAGTGCCATGACTGATCAGCTATGTCTACCATGGGTCTTGTTGCCATTCTACATTAATTGTATCTAGTAATCAGAAAGATATTCCATATTGTGGTTTTGAGTCTTTGAATTAAGAGAGCTTGGCCTCTTGATCCAAACTTTCCATGATTAGACCCAAAAAACTGGCACCCTCCATGATAGGCAGATCTTAACAGGTGGACTGTAAATGCCTTTCATCTCCTGTTAAAGGGGCTGTTTCTTTCCCAAGCTTTGCATTAATATTGCCCTCCTGGAGTCCGCCAAATCTGGCTTAGATGCCCTCCTATGTAGTTCTATAGCACCTCTTTCCATTGTAATAGCACTTAATCATCCAAAAGGCAATTCCCTACTTTCTTGTCCATCGTCTTCCCCTCCCCAGCACCAAGGCATAAGCCCATTGATGTGGAGAGATGTGGATGGACAGGAGAGCTCTCAGGAAGGGGGTCGGGGAGGGAGAGTCCAGATTGAGGTTCCAGATTGTGTCTGTCCTGCTCAATAGTTTACCCCTGGCAGCTAGGGCCTGCCTAGCACCCAGTAGGTACTCAAGGAAATGAACGAGCATTTTTGCCTTCCTTACAGCACACGGCAGAGTGGGAGAGGCAGCGGGACTCAGATAGGAGAGCCAGTCACAAGATGGGAAAGGGAAGGGCAGTGCTTACTTTCACGTTTCTTCATAATCCACAGGATTGTTTCCTTGTATTTTCCAAAATTTTTCTTCAACCTGAAAGGAATATGAACCATCTTTAAAAGCTGAGACTAAATTCTGGTCATTTGGCATGATAAACAGTGTAGAGTGTTACATAGGGGGAAAGTTGGGCCATTGGCTCTGCTTTCTACCCAGTTTTTCTTCCAGTCAATGCTCAGGCAATAAAGGGACGACCTACTGCTTCCGTCTTGGCCTCTAAGTGGCCTTCCACCTGGCACATGGGTTGACCTCAAAACCCTTCAAAATGAAGTCAATGAGAGTCATCTTGGAGGCTAAGACAAGGCAAGGAGTTTCCAAATACAAGTGTGCCTGTATGCATTAAGCTCGTACAGCTTGCTTTTATATGTCTTGTACATACCCCAGGAAGGCTTACATTTGGAAATGGCTTAGAAAAACAGCATTGTCTTTGAATTGGACAAAAACCAAAACCCGTTGCCATTGGGTCGATTCAGACTCACACTGACCCTACAGGACAGAGTAGAACCGCCCCCTAGGTTTCCAAGGAGTGGCTGGTGGATTCCAACAGCTGACCTTTTGATTCGCAGCCAAACTCTTAACCACTGTGCTGTCAGGGCTCCTTGAACTGGACAGGCCACCTGAAACTCCTTTGCATTTAGTAAGAAATTTTCAAATAAACTCACTCAAAATGACTTATCATGAAAGCCTCAGGAAGACAGGCACAACCTTTCAAAATGATCAAGCCCCTGGCTCCTTCTCATGTCAATATACAAAGAAAGTCATGCTGGCATTTCAATGGCTTGGCTTGTTTTACTTCCAAATAAGTGTGGTCTCCAGGGACAGCTGTTTCTTCCTTCTCAGATCAGAGCCCCTTTGAAAGGGAACGTGCTGGAAAGAGTGAGCTTCCCAGGCTTAATTGGATCTAAAGATCAGGCTTTTGACATGACAAGTTTTAAGTTCTAAGTTCAGATTCCCTGAAGAGGGCATTATAATTTAACCCCGAGCCACACCAGGAAGTGAATAATCTCTGCTGGGAAGTGCCTATACCATTTCACCTGGCAGAGAGCTGTTGTTGTTGTTCGTTGCCATGGAGTTGATTCTAACTCATGGCGAGCCCATGTGTGCAGAGTAGAACTTCTCCGTAGGGTTTTCTTGCCTATAATCTTTATGGAAGTAGATCGCCAAGCCTGTCTTCTGAGGTGCCTCTGGGTGAGCTGGAGCCGCCAACCGTTTGGGTAATAGTCAAGCACTTAACTGTCGGTGCCACCCAGGGACTCCATTGGCAGACAGCACTGGTTAACTATTTGTACTTGAGAAGCAATAGCGGAAATGAAGATGAGATCTTCCCGGCCCTTTTGTACCAAACCTATGTTTTACCTGCAAGCATTCTGAATGGATCTGAAGTTGTTACCTAGCCTACCAACACCTGTGAAAGAATGAAGACTAAGGAGTGGGGTGCGGCTTGCAGGCTGAAACTAGAATGTCAGCTGTAGACAAGAGTTAAGCCCCTTTCCTAGAGAGGAGTCCCTGGGTGGCACCAACAGTTAACGTGCTTGGCTGCTAACTGAAAGGTTGGAGGAAAGCTTGTGTGCCTTGGGTGTGGCACGCCTGATTCCCAGCCTCTGCATCATTCCTTTCCCCATTGCTGGTTGGAGGTTTAAGTCCACCCAGAGGTGCCTTTTGGTTAGCGCTCTAGTCAGCCACTGAAAACCCTATGGAGTGCAGTTCTACTTTGACACACATGGGGTCATCATGAAGTGGACTCGATGGCAACTGGTTTTTCTCCTAGAGAAGCCTCAGGGATCTCTTGCCCCAGAACTCTGCTGAGTCCAAACCAGAAGATGCCGAAAGTCAACCTCTATTCCTGCCTTTTGTGAAAGAAAGCCTCAACTTGCTGAGGTGATTATGAAGGGCTCGCTGTCCCCACAGCCTGTTCCCTGGTGTCACTGCTGGAGACTGTGTCATAGATAGATCCAAGGGAGGCCCAAGCATACACCTTTCTCTCCACATTTTCTGACTGGTGGATAAGGGGAAACCCAGGCTTCCGTGAGAAGAGCATATGCTGCACCACAGACTGGAGGCATAAAAGGGTCTGGGGACATTTTGTGACCTGGGGCCATGCCAGTTAGAAAGACCTGGTGCCCTCAGCAGGTCTGCAATAGCTTTCTAATTTCTCAGTCCAAATAGGGGCTCCTGCCATGACCCCCAGGTCAGTGAAGCTCAAGGCTAGGATCTCACTCCTCTAGGAGCATGAAAAAGTATCTGCTAGCCTAGGGTAAGGAGTCCCTCGGTGGTGAAATGGTTAACACGCTCGGCTGCTAAATGAAAGGCTGGAGGTTCAAATCCACTCAGAGGTACCTTGGGAGAAAGGCCTGGCCATCTACTTCTGAAAGATCAGCCACTGAAAACTCTATGGAGCTCAGTTCTACTCTGACACACATGAGGTCACCATGAGTTGGGTGAAGCTGGGCAACTTCTTGGGTAGATGCCCAGGATCTTGATCCCTCATTGCCCCCTCTTTTCAAAGGCCCAGGGGTCTAAGTCTTGCTCTGCAGACTACTGTACAAGTTCATTCTACACAACTTCAAGACTTTTCCTGTCCTGGACTTTCAACCTCTGCCACTGTCTGGCTCTGATCCTATTTGGTGCCTCCCATGCTTGTAGATTTCTTTGCTCTTGAGTTTTGCTCATGGTTTGGCAGCTGGATCATTCTTTTCACCTGACCTCTGGCTCTGGCCTTAGCCCTTGTGCCTGGCCTGTCCCTGCTCCTTGACTTAGGGGACCTGCCCAGCCCTGGCCCTTGCTCTTTTTCCCTGGATACTCAATTTACATTTTCTCTGCTGTTGCCTGTGGCCAGCTGAACCTACTGATCACCAGCACAACTCCACTACTTACAGAATCCCCAGTTTCCTTCTGGTTTCACTCTCCAGATGCCCAGTCATGGGGATGTCAATATCCTCTTCCAGCTCACTGCGAGCAGCCATTTCTTTGAGCATTGTCCTAAACACTGTCTGATAGGTGGTACTGTTCAAAAACTACAATATCCAGAAAATGGGAATTAATGATTTACCAGTTAATCACTTTTCTGACTCCCAAGGGAGCCAAGTGACATTTCAACACATTATTCAGTAAACACAAAGAGTGGGAACAGTAGGGTGGCTAGCAAGTATTCTTCTAAAGAATGTTTCTATTATCATCACTCCCTCTCCTCACTCCCCAATTCCCTCAGGAAAAAATTTTAAACATCCTTATACCAATAAATCCCCAAGATGTAGCCTTTTCTCTCAACAACTCCCAGGGAGATCCCAGGTGGCGCAGTTTGCGTGCAGTTGCTAACGTAAAGGTTGGCGGTTTGAAACCACCCAGTGGCTCCGTGGAAGAAAGGCCTGGGGATTTGATTCCATAAAGATTACAGCCAAGACATAACAAAATTTATTAAGAAAATGTTCTACATCCCACTTTGGTGAGTGGCATCTGGGGTCTTAAAAGCTAGCAAGCGGCCATCTAAGATGCATCAATTTGTCCCAACCCACCTGGAGTAAAGGAGAATGAAGAACATCAAAGACACGAGGAAAGTATTAGCTCAGAGACAGAAAGGGCCACATAAACCAGAGACTTCATCAGCCTGAGACCAGAAGAACTAGATAGTGCCCAGCTACCACCAATGACCCCTCTGACAGGGAACACAACAGAGAGTCCCAGATGGAGCAGGAGAAAGGTGGGGTACAGAACTCAAATTCTAGTAAGAAGACCAGACTTAATGGTCTGACTGAGACTGGAGAAACCCCAGAAAACATGGCCCCTGGATTCTCTATCAGCCTAGAATTAAAACAATTTCCAAGGCCAACTCTTCAGATAGGGATTGGACTGGACTGAGGGACATAAAGTGATACTCGTAAGGAGTGTGCCTCTTAGCTCAAGTAGATACAAGAGACTAAATGGGCAGCTTCTGTCCGGAGGTGAGATGGGAAGGCAGAGAGGGTTAGGAGC